AATTATACAGAAGATGGAGAACTCTTGTGAACTAAGACAAGAACGTTTATCACATAACTGCATACTGAAACCTCCGAGTCTGCCGCATCGTCAATATGCACCCTTTTTTAACAATTAGGGCTAAAACGATGTTGTGGAATATCTAAGGGAGGATCGATTGGCCTCGATTCAGACAGCGTCGCCACGGCGGCCGACCATCGATTCGGACTTCTCATCATTTCACTTCAACTCAAGCTCGTTTACCTTCTCAACTTAAAACGCTTCAGAAGCAAGCATCCCTCTTCTCATTACTAAGTTTAACACATAAACGAGTATGACACTCCTATGAGCAAACGTGGAAGAAGGATTAAATTTGAGGGGCCTTGATAGGCTATACCTTGAAGTGCTGTGCAGCGACACTAAAGGTGCGCAAAATCACGACACGCGTAACCTTATCCGAACACTTTGATCGCCTTGTTCAGCATTTTCATCGTGCGAATAGCAACGCTTCTTTCTTCGATTCTTCTCAGTAGGACACTTTCTCATATCAGCAGTCTTCGTTTAACTCATGATTTGTTAATAGAAAGCTTCCTCAGGAAGCTAATGATCCTGCAATTTCTGTCCTCAATTTGACATTTTTCATTTCAAGGTACAGTTAATGGCCAGTTTTCAGCATTTAAATGTATAACAACATACTTTAACATTTTGGAACATTCACTCCCTCCACTTGTAGTTCTTTATTGTTGGTTTATTCTTACTCTTATTCCTCGTTAAATCTGATGTTTAGGAGTGAATGTTTTGGTCCTCTTCAATATATATGGGATTTTGAGTCAGTACTATCATTGTTTTCATTAGGAAACATAGTCCAGGGAGATTGCTGCTATCTCGATTTCGATAAGAAACTTGTCTTTAGGTCATGCCGCTTTTAATTTTGACAGCAGTGTTGAGATTGAAAAATCTCATATGAATATATAATCCATATTTGAATCGAAGCGTTTACAACCTCATCACTCTTAGTTATCTTTCTGCAGCTGCATACAATTAAGTGCGACGTTTCATCAACTCATCATCTGATCTATCGTCACGTAAAGCATCTTTATGCTGCATTTCCTAAAGTTGTTCCTTTCATATGTGCGCTTCTTTATCGTTGTCAATATTTATTTGCAGGGTAAACTGGGTTATGGCGTCACCCGATAACGTCTTGGCAGATGTGGACACTTTTCTGCAAGAATTAGCCAACTCTACCGTTAAACCATCTGAGCATTTATCGATGTCTCATCGCCATGGTAAATTATAAACAGTATGACTTTGTCATGAAAAGAATAATTTTTCAAGCTGTTCCTGTTCTTCTAAAGTATGCATTTGAAAATATAGTAGCTTATATATACATAAATTTTCCAGAAAAATTTTGTAGAAATAGGATACAAATTTGAATTATGCTGCTCTACTACACTATACCTATAGACCATATATGCTCTTTGGGAAGTCTCAACCTATTTCTACCCTCTTGCTGAATTTTTATCGAAAATAAAGGGAGCATTATAGACATGCAAAGTAGACTTCGCAGATAAAAGGGATAATGCGCGTCTTAATAGCAATTACTAAAAGTAGTTAACCATTTCTATGTCGGTGACCATTCGTTCCTGCACTTTCAGGACTGCACCTATTCCATCGCTACTCAGCTGTGATTATGTTTTTTTTGGTCAGATTTCTACTTAAGTGCATATAAAAAAGGATGTTGATGTGTAATTACATGTTTTTTTGAGCAACGTTGATGTTTCCTGCGTATCGCTCTGAGATTTTCTGAAAATACCATTTTTTATTGCTTCTTGAGCGCACGATTAGTTCACTGGGCAATCTTTTCAATAATGCAGTAGAGTGTTCATCTGGCAAGTAGAATTGACTGTATAAATTTTTATTCCAAAAAGCATTTTTTTCATGAGAAAGTGGTCTAAAGACAACCTATGTTTCAGGCCCGCATGAGCAGCACATGCACGGAAATCATGTAGGCATGCAACATGGAATGGGGATGGGAATGCATGATGGACATATGATGAAAATGTGGTTCCATGGCGGATATAATGAAGTCATACTATTTGATTTCTGGCGAATAGGTTCGATATCGGGTAAGAGAACAGCTATAGCATCCATTTGAGCACACCTTTGGTTTATATGTTTCTAAAGATTCATATTACCGTTTACGCATATCTGTTTAAGGACTAGTAATTTCCTTTATTGCGATATTTGTCATGGGCGCAATGTATGAAGGGATCAAATGGTTCCGCGTGTATTTGCAAATGAGCAATTCAACAGCAAGCTCTTGTTCTCAGAGAGAAAATGGCATCAGCCTTCAACACGTCGTTTACGACAAGGTATTTTAATTCGTTAAGGAAAATTTGGGAAAATTTGCAAATATTCTGTTCTACTTGGTTTATGTTCTAACCTCTAGTTATATCTCTATAGCATTGAAATCCCCAATTATTAATTCTATTTTTAGGCTCCACTCCAGAATGACATTGCTCGAAGCACTTCAAACGAGGATGTCTACAACCCCACAACAACGCCGCCCAGTCATGCAATCCGATCTCACAATCGTCGCTCAAGGTATAGCTGAGATTAGTACATCACGTCCATTAACTTGTTTATTTATTCATTCGTTATGCAGTAACAGAAATTCACAAATTTGCTCTCAGAATCACTTTGCAGTCCATATACTTCATCATCTCCTTGTTCGTCTGTTCGACTCACCCAAGCAGCACTCTACGTCGCACAGCTTGTCTTGGCATACTGGCTGATGCTGATTGTCATGACCTACAACACATGGCTCAGTGAGCTTTTCTTAAAATAATCCGGTTTACATTTGTCTACGATTTGCTCTGAAATATAGGCGGTGCCATTTCTCATAAGAAAATTTATTTTAGATTTATGTCTCCTTCAATAGTAGTGATAACTCTTTTTGGCTATCCCTTTGTCTTCAAGGAAGACATGCGTTGATGGCTTTATCTGGCTGTTAGGAATTAATTTTTTCATCTTAGCTCTAAATAAATTAACGGTCGCTGTGCCGGGTGAAAACATCCCACACTGCATTTGGATGTCAAATTTTACTTTTGCAGCAGTTATGAGGTTTTCTCCTCATTTTTTGAAGCTTTATATAAGCTTTTTTTTTGCATTGCACTGTTGAGTATCTCTTGGCTATATGAATGCCTTTATGTGAGGCTGTGTTGGGAAGCACTGGGGAGTAAGGAACTCCTGCTTCGTTCTATAGTACCGTGGCCATTTTTAAATGTAATCACAAGATTATGCAATGATGCTACATCGTCTCTTACGATCAAAATTTTAATTTCTGTAGTTTTTTTTTTCAATTTATGTAGATGATCGTCTCACAACTGCATGCTCACTGGGCGATGTTGAACTTGTTTGTAATCAACTTTTTCTCAACTCACTGGCACATCGTTTTGCAGCTATCGCTGTGATCCTTGGTGCAGGATTTGGACATTGGCTCTTCGCCGTTCTGAAATTTCGAGATCTCGCCGGTGAAACGGCTGATTCATTTGCGACTGATGCCTGTCATTGAGGATTTAAATGGTGCGATTTTTTTCATGTTATCTCTTCGCCAAAAATTGTCATTGGTTTAGGAACAATAGGATCCAGAAAAAATATAAAGCCAATTGAGTTTTTCGTATCGCAAGAAGGTGTTATT